TGTAAAGAAACAAAAAACCCCATCCTTGGCAAGTATCATATTTATTAAAAAATGGAGGCTGGCTCACTGAAATGATTTAGTTTTAGGGCTGGCTAGGAGGAATCTATTGGACAGTGAGTGGTTTATAATTAGACAGGCCTATCGCAGCAGCCATGTTGCAGTGAGAAGCTTTTGACGGCAGCCGTGTTGTCCTAGAGCAGGGTTCACCAGTGGGATTGGTGGCCCACTGGGAGAGGGAGAGGCAGGCATCTTATGCGCGCATGCGCAAATGTGAATGTGGCCACACAAACAGGCTGCGAGCATGCGCGCCACGCAAACGGGGCTGCGAGCGTGTGCGCGAGGCTCTCCGTGACAGCGGCGCCTGTATGAGGCTTGTGGCGCCGCTGTTGCCAGGCTGGCGGCGATGCTACCACCAGCGCGAGGCTTGCACCGTGGGCCGCAACGATGCCACCCTGGTGCGAGGTTTGTGCTGCCACCCCCGCACAAGGATCTGTGGCCCACCTGCCGCTTGCGGTGCTGCCGCCGCCCACACAAGGTTCGTGGCAATGCCACCACATGCGTGTGGTGTGCCGCCGCCCACCTGCTGCTCATGGCATTGCTGTCACCCATGCAAGGTTCGTGACACCGCCACTCGCGCGATATTAGTGGCACTGCCAGCGCCCGCACAACACTCGCGGCAATGGCATGGGGGGGTGAGAATGCACACATGCATGTGCTCTGCCCAGCTACTCCACAGCCTAGAGGCCACTGCCCGGTAGCGAGCTGTGACCCATAGGTTGGGGATCTCTGTCCTAGAGAAAAACAGGGCTGCTTTAATGAGACAGGAATGGCATTCAACACTCCTGCAAACTCCGAAGCACCGTGTCAACGCTGCTAACTAACATTGGGTGTTCTTGCTTTGTCAACATGTGGAGAAGCAGCTTTGCTTCTTTAACTTGTGTGTTACTTTTAGAGTTAGAATTAGTTGATGCTGGTGGGGGGAGGAGGAAGAATATCTCTCAAGGCTGTTTTGAAATAAGAGAAGAATTTGGCGGGTTGTTGAACAGAAGGGAAACTTTGGAATTCGGATCTTGGCATCCCATGTTTGTGCCGAAGGGTGCTTTGCTAATAAAGAGACTTTAAGGAAAACAATGCCTCGAAGTTCTTCGAAGTATTCCCCTAATCCACGGGTCGGCAACCCGTGGCTCTGGAGCCGCATGTGGCTCTTTGACCCTTCTCCTGCGACTCCCAGCCTCCTCCGGCATTTGCAAAGAGAGAGAGAGAGGCACTTGCGCTTCCCTTCTCTCTCTCTCTCTCTCTCTCTCTCTCTCTCTCTCTCTCTCTCTCTCTCTCTCTCTCTCTCTCTCTCTCTCTCTCTCTCTCTCTCTCTGTGTGTGTGTGTGTGTGTGTGTAAAAAAGAGAGTGGCCTCATGCTGTTCTTGGACAAGCTGACAAGCTTATTGGGTGGGGCTCCTGCCTTTGCTGCATCTCCACAGGAAGCAGCAGGAAACAGAAAGCAACAGCACTCTCTCTCTCTCTCTCTC